GTGTCCCAGGTTTTAATGTTCAAACTTTGTCAGTATATTCTATGGGACAAAGTAAGAAAAAAATGTTATGTAAACATAGGTCGTATAGAGCTTTATTAAGAAGTTATAACAAAAATTCAGAATATTAATACATTTAATAATATTAATACATTTCGAAATGTATTAATCAACACAGCTTACATAAACACACGGCATGTGCTGATCTATTCAAGCCAATGCTCGCAGTAATAGCAAGTTGATCACTATTTCTATTCTGAATTTTTGTTATAACTTCTTAATAAAGCTCTATACGACCTATGTTTACATAACATTTTTTTCTTACTTTGTGCCATAGAATACACTGACAAAGTTTGAACATTAAAACCTGGGACACCCTGTATATATTTCTATACAGGGTGGCCCCCATGACGTCGCCGTCAAGTTAAGTGCCGGTCACCGGTGACCCCCGTGGCATTCAACGTGTTAAGAATGATTTTTTACGCCAGTTCATTTGGTCAATTTTATTGGAATCGATGCGATACAATTTTCATAGAATATGACTGGACATCAAATTTTATGCATCTGTGAAAGTAACGCGTAAATGAAATACTAGGTCGTAATGTTATCCGAATAGCAATTTTTACTCTCGAGAGCTAGACTCATTCAGGTCGTTCTCGTTTAAAAATTAATTCTCTTCGTCAATATACAGATTCGGCGAATTCGATTAGGATCTATCAGATACAACGATGAAAAAAGTATTTGCGATAAGATTTCAGCTTCTGTGCACTTATAAAAGAAAAATACAATGACTCGCATTAATATTCGGACACGATATTGTTAGAAGAATTATTGCTCCTTTTTATATTGTTTATGATAGTATTATTCAATCAATTGTGGTATTATGGACAAAATGAAGTATTTGGACATTTTTTTTTTAAATTTAATTGCAAGTGCTATAAATATGGGTATTCGTACAGTTTTAAGTTTTATCAGGACAATGATCCTAAACAAACCTTTATAGAAGCTTCAAAGTGTTCTCAGTTTATAGTATAATACACTCTTTCAATATATGAGCCGTTTATTTTGAAAGTGGCATAAGTCACTTTGTTTTTAAGTCGATATATATTTAAGGGTTTGCGTGTTTCAACACGTTTAAAAATATGGATGCTAACTTTCGAGAACATTTACTTGTATTTGTTATCTCAGGATACTGATATTTCTCTCGGTATAAATAATTTCGTATAAACATGAAAAAAATCACCACTTTTCATTACGGCAAAGTGACTTATGCCACTTCCAGAATAAACGGCTCGTATGAAACTTAAGAAATTGAATTTTGGCCACACAGAAAGCGGGTTTCCAGGCCACTGTGCAACGTTGCGCTGCATCTCTCGAAAAAAGTATGTAATTTCGGCGGTCACCCATGAAAGCACTTCACGTTCCTCGCGAGGATGTGGGTGCTGACATGATTAGAGAGCGAAGCGATATCGCGAGTCAATTAACGCTGGAGTCGATTGTCCGGCGAGAAATCGAACCGAACCGAACCGAACCTGTTCACTCTGTTGCAGGAGTTGAAAATAAAGGCCGGCGCCGAGAAGCTGAGGGAAGTCGCGACCGATCGTAAAGCGCTGTCGGACGTGGCGACGATCGTGAAAAAGGCGAACAGCAAGCTGAACGAGCTGCAGGCGGAGCTGCAGCAGCTCGAGAGTCAAATTATATTGACGCAGGGCCAGCCCCAGTCGCCCCAGCAAAATCACTCGAACGGTCAAGGTAAGAAAAGCCCCGAAGTTTCGCAGACCGGCCGGCGCAGAGATACCATCTTTGTAGTCGCGTTAACGCCGCATGCCATTGACCGAGAGGATAAGGCTCAGGACTTCGTGCTCGCCTAAACGGGTTTTATGTAACGCCGCGGCGTTAGACCTTTCCGTCCCGATCAATTACCGGACTTCTCTAGACTCGAATCTTGCGAGAAACTAACAGAGATCTAGTGTCTCTCTCTCTCTCTCTCTCTCTCTCTCTCTCTCATCCTTGGGCATCGTTGTTGAACCCTAAACGAGTTCAAGGATTTTTTAGCAACCGTGTGAAATTGGGATTCGGTCGGATCCTACCGTTCCTTTGCCGGATCGTTAACCCTTGCTACACCGTCGGGATAATTATATGGATACGTTCCATAAATCGGTCGTACTACGGGCTGCTGCAAAATTAAATCTTTCCTTCGATAGATATTTGCTCTTCGTTCATATTTAGTTTTGGGGGATTTTTTTAGCTTGCGGTCGATTGCAAGTCGATTTTTCAAGCTTTGCCTGCATTATTGGTCGCTATAAGTTCTAGGTACGTTAAATGGAACCTTGATTAATCCTTAAGCACATTCGTATTTGTGACAACTGCTTGCTAAAATATATTGTTTATAAAGTAAAGATGATAGTAAATTTTACATACAAATTAAGTATAACATGTATTGCACATGTTGACGATGACAAGAAAAGGGGAAAGTACGCGATGTAATAACTTCTGGATCCACTTATGGTAGAAGTAATAACTCCGTGTCCGCAGTTAAGCCTTACAAAATTGGAAATGTACTTTATGCGCATACGTATGTGTCCGCAAATGGCGATTGAAAGTTCTGACTCGTCGCTTGCCTCGTGCTTGCCATGGAAACAAAGTAAACAGTGGGGTTGATTTATCCACAAGAACACACCGCCGTGTGTATTTAACAACTGTATTGTGGCTGGTGCAGGAGGAGACAAATAAATTATATTGCGCATGGCTTTTATGTCGCATACGCGAAACTCGGATAACAAAGAGCGCGTTTAATCGCGACCACGAATAATCGGACTCTGGACTGTATGTCCAAGTTACTTCAGGAATTGCAGAAAAGTATAATTATTTTACTAAAGTATTGGGTTGGGGCAACTAAGTAATTGCCGACTTGTTCGATGAAATAAAAAATTTTGTTTTACTTGGAACGAAGTTTAATCTGTAATGCATTTTCCATTTTGTTCGATGACCTTTTGCCATCTCTCCGACAACTTGAAAATTCCACGCTCGTAGAAAGTCTGATCCTTTTCGGCCAAAAACTGAGTTAAGTGAGATTTTACAGCGTCGTCATCGTTAAAAGTTTTACCACGAAGGGAGTTGTCCAGGGATCGAAATAAGTGGTAATCCGATGGCGCGAGATCAGGGCTATATGGTGGGTGTAACATCGATTCCCAACCAATATCCATCAATTTTTGCCGAGTGGACAAAGACGTGATCGGCCTAGCATTGTCCTGCTGGAAAATGACACCTTTACGATTGACCAATTCTGGTCGCTTTTCCTTGACCGCTGCATTCAATTTGTCCAGTTGCTAACATTCACGGATAATAAAAAATAACATAATAATAATAATAATTTTATAATATAACATTTACGGATATCATAAAAATGGGAGTAAGAGACATCTATAACTGAAATCGGCAATTACTTAGTTGCCAACCCAATATCATATTATATATCAATTATATATATATATATTATTATAATTATATATATATATATATATATATCATATTATTATTAGAAACTATAGTGAGTATTTTTTCAGATTTCTTTTAAGCCTCGGACGATAAGAATCGTCGGATCAAATATCCGTTAATGTAAAGCCATATTGTCGGCAGATGATTAATGTTCGACCGAAAATATGGAATATACAAAGACTCTTTGTTACATTACAAATCACATTTCTAGATCGCGATTTACTCCGCGATACAATAAACGTACAATGAACCAAATTTAAAAATCTCGAATCCGCAGAAACTATAAACCGGTTCGAATCTATATATATAGATTATCCAAGAATATCTCGCAGATTATTCGCAAAGTTCAGGCTTTAAACGACCGAGAATAACCGGTGCACCCTTTTTCCCCGACGTATCAATTAATGTTTCTGCTTATTCACGGACAACTTATCGATACATCGTGGTAATGGCGAGAGTACGTTCCGGTACGTTCCCTCCTACCACGCTAACGACTGGCCAGTGTCGTTAACGAGCGGTCACTTAATAACTCCACCCGCTAACGAGCCGTCGAGACGACGTCTTCGGGTTTATAAAGCTCGGCCGTGCATGCGAGCTACCGCTTCATTCCCTTGCATCGCATCGGGCCCGGCAAATCGAGCGTATCCAGCCCCGGGGCATAACACACACGGCGGCGGTTTAGCCTCGACGGATCGTTCCGTCGACGATCCAACGATCCACGGGTTTGATAAACTGCTCTGGAAAATCGTTTACGCTCCTGGCGCGACCGTATTCCTCCGTCGGTGTTCCGAGCCTCGGATAATTTGTTTGGGAACGCGGTACATCAATCTTTGAACACCATTCGAGCACGTGGTCCTCCTCGGTTAAGCGAAATTTTTCACCCCGGTTTCGCGAAATTTCCCTCCCCGGATTAGCGCGCTCGATTTTAACGTTTCCGATTCGAATTTGAAACTGTTTGGAATTGAAAGGAGCTTGGTCACTCGAGCCTAGAACTCAATTTTTGGACTGTTTGTACAGTGATTTCTCGAATAAATGCTTCGAAATTCTCTAAACTGCTTCGAAAGTGTAATCTTTTACAAACATTTCACGAATAGGCTTGTTAGAGAAAAAAGAAAAATCAGTATATTTAAAAGAAGCGAATAATATCTATTAAATCTCTGCAGAAATTCTGTCTAAAATGGAATTTTATGCGGGTCTCGGGTGACCCACGTTCGTCTTGCGAGGGTTAAACGGTCTGCCAACTAATGTAATCATTCTCACGTCAGGCAGTTGTAATCTAGATTCATTACACGTTTCAATAATTTCTCCCTAATTCGCGCTGAGATTGCTCACAGAAATGGACGATTTGGGGAAAGGAGATACGATTATTCGAGCCTTGCGCCTCGTTTGCATAGTTGTTGCCAATCGGTAACTATAAAAACGAGAAAACAAGGCTCGAATAATCGTATCTCCTCTTCCCAAATTGTACATTTTTGTGCTGATTCTGAGCGCGAATTAGGGAGAAATTACTGTGTTCTGTTCTACTCGGATCAGCGAAAATTTGCGTCTCCGATTAGCGCGTTCGCTCCAATTCGAAACTGTTCAGAATCGGAAGAAGTTGGGCTACTTAAGTTCAGAATTCGATTTCGAGAACTTCGTGTGTTCAATTTTCCCCGGTTTAGTGAAAGTTTGTGTATTAACACGTTGAATGCCACGCCGGTTTTACAGAAATTGTCCGTGGCGCCGCGATGAATTTTCTTTTATGCGATACATATAATGTTGAAATATTATCTACAATAGATAAGTCACAGTGTATAACCATGCTTGACATGTTAATTGCGACAGGAGTCACTGTTTGAATTGACGATGGTAATAATACCAAATTTTACATATTGACATTTGTTTTAAATTATATATATTTATATATATAAATTATATATAATTATTATTAATATAATATAAATATTAATATTATTAATATAATATAAATATTATTAATATTATTAATATTATTAATATAATATAAATATTATTAATATTATATATAATTATATATATTATAAATTATATATATATCAATTTGGGCGCGCCGGTCACCCGTGGCCCCCATGACGTCACCACCAAGTTAAGTACCGGTCACCGGTGACCCCGTGGCATTCAACGTGTTAAACGCATCGCGCTTTAGTTTTCGAATTCTCTTCTTTCGATTTGCTCCTGAGAGTGTGAAATCATTACTATAGACAGAAAATTCATTCTCTCTGGATTACTGTCTAGCATCGAGCTAATGACAGTCGTTCGATTCAAAGACTTTTCTTATATTATTTCACGTCCATAGTGAAAGATATATATTAGAGTCCCGATCGTCGTAAATTATCTTTTATTGCTCGACCAGCTGTAAAAATAATCCTTGTCAGATTAACGACACCTTTCCTTGTGGTTTATTAGTCTTGTTCCTGTTGCCTTTGCGGGAACTAGAAATTGATCGAATTTTAATTACACCGTTTTCATTCACATGATCGAAAAATTACCATTATTTTAAGATCGATAACTCCATGAATTATTGTTGAATAGCTCATAAAGTTTCTACCTATTTTTCATAAACGAACGAAAAAGAAATGCCGAAACAAGTGCATTTTTTCTCATCCATCGATTTCCTGCAACAAAATTAACACAAACGCTTCTCATTAACGTTTCTATTTTCTACAGCAGAGTAGAAAGAATTAAGGCTGCTGGCGCGTTAACGCAACAGCCTAACTGATCTGTCCGTTGAATTTGTCTGAAACCGTCGCACGAATTCCGACTTCAACCATTTCAAATAAAATCTCCTAAAAACGGAAATATCCTAGTTTTATTCCGTGTCAACTTCTCGCACAGATTTGCGCTAAATTAACACGTTCAGCGGCAACAATCTACCACTAAAATTCACTCGAGGTCAAAGCAATTTAGTTAATTAAACGAGAACCAGAAAGTTAAAATTTATCACAATGGATGACATTGGAACCCTTTCGTATCCGAAATATCCTAGTCAAATTCAGTTTGTCCGAACGTATTGCAATGAAAACGAATGTTCAAAATTGGTGAAAAATTAGTGTCACCCATACGTGACCGACGCGGCGCTCAACGTGTTAAATCGTCCGTGTACGCACGTTTCCTTGAAAATAAAACCACGGGACGACGGGGTCGAGCTAATTTGTCTCTAAAAATCTCTGCAGCCCGCCTAATGAAATTATTCGTCGATTCGCAAGACTTCGCGCGCGCTCCGCCCCGCCCCGCCC